ACTGGAAATTATTTATGTAATAAAGGCAGCAACTACTCCCCTTCCACAACTCCCTCTCTTATTCAGACTTCAGTACCCCAGAAAACAATAAATAGAAAGATATGACTGTTCTAGTTACTCAATTCTTTTCCTTGTTAGTACCTCAGTATTTTCAAAGACTTGATAAAGAAAACTGAAACTGGTTATCTGAAACATTTTAGAAAGGTCTGCATTAACAATTAGCATGATGGAGAACTGACTCAGATATGACATCTATTACTCCTCTGACTTTTAATCACATATGTTTCCTTACCATTTCAGGATACATTTGTCTAATTCTTTTTCTGTTATCATCACCTGTATCTGTATTTCTGAAGTGACACCGACTAAAATATCAGACTGCTTATTACAATTAATGTTATTCTTACATTTCATAATGTTATTCTGGCTGCATAACACATCTGCACCACTTGTGATTCTGTCCTTTTTTCCCCAGTGTCACATTGTTCCTTAAATGCAAAGCAGAGGAGCTTTCCAAACAATCAGAAGGTATCCCATACCATGTAAAATAGTAGTGCCCTTAACAGCTATCTTCTTCCCTCTGCTTGCCATGCCCTCTCAGCCTTTTTTGGATCAGATTTTTAGTTAGCATCGGGCTCCATGGACTGTGTTACAGTGAAAGGCTCAACACAGTGGAATTAGAGACTAGTACTATCTGCTGCCAGCAGTACATTTTAAAACCTAATTTTGGAAATCCTGATTTGCCAGGAAGAAAATATCAGAAAGGGATAACTGACCCATCCCTTTCCCTCAACCCCCATACCCAACTAAATTCTATCTTCTAATTATCTTTCAAGTCCTTTTATTTCTCATCTCCACTACCCATCATCTCTCCTCAGCTGTGGACTTTTGAGAGTTGTGTCCTTGCCTTAGACTTGTCTCCCTTCAATCTAGTCTCCAGCAAAAGTAAGCTTTGTAAATACTAACCTAATCAAATTAGTTCTCTATCTAATTCTCTTTATGGCTACCCAATACCCTCAGACCAAAGTCCAAATTTAATAACAAGACCTTTTAGGTCCTTCACGACTCGCCTCCTGCCTACCTGTCAGTCTCATTTCTCAATACGTACCAGCTTGACCAAACTGCATTTAATTCCTCAATCTGTCAATCTCTCCTCCAGAGTCTTAGGTATGTTGTTTTCGCTGCCTGGTACACTCCCTTTCTTAACCCCTTCTACCTTCTTCGACTGCTAAGCCCTACTGATTCTTCACTGAAAATGTGTAAAAAAATAGAATATAAATAATACCATTTTTTTCCAGGAAAACTTAACCCGCTAAACCCAAGTTAGGTGCTTCTACTATATATTCTCATAGCACCTTGTACTTTCTCCACTTATCACACTGCCTGTTTATTAGCCTTTCCCATTAACTGAAAGCTCCACGGGGACAGGCACCATATTTGTTATTCTCCCTTTTATTCAAAGAACCTAGCACAGTGCCGAGCACCCAGTAGACATTTATATATATTTGCTGAATAATGAATACCCAAGAAACTGAAAGTGGTAGGTCTAAGCTTCTCAGCCATATTTATTACCAGTGATTCTAAGGGGAGCAGGAGGGGGTATACTTGTTCCCCTAAGAGCTTTTCCAAAACACATAAAAGCCAAGAACAGATTCAAAATAAACTCTTTAAGGTATTTGAATATTATTCTTAGTCTCTTAAGTGGGAAAAGTTTATCAAATGTATAGCATTATCCTTCTGGTTAGTAAATTAACATGATTTCACTAAAAAGAAAGAATAAAATTAGATAAATCCCATTTCACAATGCATTCGTTTGGCTGTATCTCTATACTTCACTTCTCAGAGATCGATAAAAATACTAGTCAAGGGCTTCCCTGGTGGCGCAGTGGTTGAGAGTCCGCTTGCCGATGCAGGGGACACGGGTTCGTACCCCGGTGTGGGAAGATCCCACATGCCGCGGAGCGGCTGGGCCCGTGAGCCATGGCCGCTGAGCCTGCGCGTCCAGAGACTGTGCTCCGCAACGGGAGAGGCCACAACGGTGAGAGGCCCGCGTACCGCAAAAAAAAAAAAAAAAAAAAAAAAAAACTAGTCAAGTTTCCTAATTTGCAAAAGGAATAGATTATTCTACTATTTAGTACTTCCTAAGCCCCAGCCTCTGTGCTAAATACTTTTTAAAAAAATTCTCACAACAAAACCATAAGGTAGAGCTATTATTATCTCCATGTCACTGATGAATAATCTAAGGTACAGAATTTGAACTTATGCTTATGCTGCTCACCACAATTAAATCAACTTGGTAACCTATATGTCTGATCTGTAATAATATACATAATAATTGTGAAAAGATAAGGAGTTCAAATGTAGACTCCAACGTGAAGTTCCTATTAAAAGAACATGTGAAATAATGAGTATCTGAGGATTTTTCTGTAGGTCCAGTCAAAAAGGCAAGAGGTGCTGGCATACATTTTATTAACAGATACCAACCTACTTATTTTGGAAATGTCTTTCCTGAGAAACTATTTGATGATATGCCCTTAGTATTTGTTGAGGATAATTTTTTCAATTGCCATTTAAAGTCTCTGTATTTCTTGCAAAGCTAATACTTGAACATTGTCCAACAGGTGGTTTAAGAACCATAGAACAAAGAACCTCAAGGCAAATTCTACTCATACTTTTGTATTAGTAAAAAGATTTTTCTCTTTATCAGATAATGAGAATGAAAGAACATATTGTTTTCCTTTCTTCCTTCATTCAAAGTCAAATATAGTATTCAATTACCGTGATAATCATATAAGCTCAGATTTAAGGTATTTTTATTTCCTCTATTATTAATTTTTAAATTACAATTTCATTACTCCAATTATACCAGTGTCATATTATAACTTTTCAAATTTTGAAAGTGGGTAGGATAAAAATTATAAATAAATTCAACATTTTGGAGTGGGGCAAGATTCAGGCATGATCTTACTTAGGCTGCTAGCAAATTCTTCATGACAGTAAAACTACCTTAATGTTCATCACATCAAGTTAGTTAATTCAGGAAGTAAATGAAAAATAGTGTAAAATTTTTTGTCTTACTTATGTATTACCAGAATCCTAGTAAGTAAACTGATCACTTATGGAATATTAGAATGAAGCCAGGTGTAATCTCTACAAGGCAGAAAAGTTTTAAAGAGATGATGAGAGATGAGCAGAGTTGAAATATATCTTTGAGAACATGTGAAAAAATAGAACAAAGTTTTTGAGTGATGAGCGAATAATCAAACTCATTCACCCTTTGACAGTCCAAAGAGATCCCATGAGCCATCTCTGGGAATTCCACAAAGTAAGAAAAAACTAAAGATAAATTTGTGGTAATGGTACAGAAGTGGTAGGAAAGCTTTCTAATAGTGTCTTAATTGTTACAGATTTCCCTGAACACTGAGCAAGACACCTGCTATAAAAACATACAACACTTAGAAACACATAAACGTATACAGATACATACACAATCCAGTTTGTGTTTATGGGAATTAAACATAATTTTCTCAATTAACTTTCCAGTGATATGAATTTGGGTCACAAAAAATTTTACAATTCAGGCACCCTTGCCTCTGAAGCCCTCACTCTAGACTTTGACAGCGCTATTCAAATACTTGTGTTACACACATGACTGAAAGTTCCATAGACTACGAAGTTCTTTAAAAAATATTTGGTTTCACAATTTAAATTACCTCTAAAAGCTAAAGATGGGAAAAACATGATAACTAGTAAGAACTGATCTTTTAGAATTCAAATCAATAAAGAATAAAACCCAAGCATAGATTCAGATTACATATGTGTGTGTGTGCGTGTATATATATATGTATGTATATGTATATATACATACTAAGAAAAATGCAGATTTGGTAAAACATAATAGAAAATTGTTCAAGTGGAAATATGTGGAGGAAAAAAAATCAAATCTAGGTTCTAGATTGAAATGGATTGAGATAACATTTATCATCTCAATTACTTTAAACCAGCATTCAGATTACCTTAAACTGACATTTTTAAAAGAAATAAGAGACTCAGTAATCTTTTTCTATTTTTATAATACATACAAAAGGTTAAAATTTAGGGGGGCATGTGAGGGCAGAATATAGTAGCTATCTCTAAAGATATAGAAAAGGGGGAAAAAAGGAACACATCAAAAAGAATAAGGGACAGCTTTAAATTTTTGTAAATATCCAGAAAGTTGAGGGAAATATTTAATAAATACTTGTCCTTGAAATTATTTTCTCCATGTGCTATTTTCTCCAAGTACAAACAAAATATATCATGATAAAATTAGGGTCATGGGGCTTCCCTGGTGGCGCAGTGGTTGAGGGTCCGCCTGCTGATGCAGGGGACACGGGTTCATGCCCCGGTCCGGGAGGATCCCACATGCCGCGGAGCGGCTGGGCCCGTGAGCCATGGCCGCTGAGCCTGCACGTCTGGAGCCTGTGCTCTGCAATAGGAGAGGCCACAAAAGTGAGAGGCCCGCATAACGCAAAAAAAAAAAAAAAAATTAGGGTCATGTTTATTTGACCAATTAATCAGAAAGTACATTCTAAGGACTGAGGTTGAAAAAGTTAGATATCTACTTAACTAAGTTTGAAGGAGGCAAAATCAATGAAAGGGAAAAGATATAAAAAATGTTCTATTACTTAAAGCATGAAAAAAGACTGAGCTCATTATTGGAAAATCAAGTTTAACACATATTTCAAGTAATACATTTTGTTTTTCTAACCTATTGTGAGTACAACTTACTTAAATACTGTTGCATATGCTTGCAAAAATGAACAAAGGCAAAATCTTAGTATCCCTGGTGGTCTTGCTAGACCATGTTAATTCTGCTTTTTGGTTAAATACAAAGGAATAGAATTATGGAGGTTCAGCAACAAGATTTTCATTAGGATATGAAATCATGCCATGAGTTCCAAAAAGGGTTAGTTGTATAGATTTGGGAAATAATCACTCATGCAAAAATCAGAAAATACCTGTACCGAGCCACCATGTCTGTCTGCTGCAAGGTGAGCTCTCAAATGATGGGGATTTGCCTGCTGGGAGTCCCAAGCTGCCCTGTGGTCTGCCGACTGCCATTTATTTAATGCATGTGGCATGCATGGAAGAAGAGAAACCCAAAATGTTAAACATCTCATCCTTATAATATAGAAAACAAACGTATAAAAGGAAATTTAAAATACCCTTACTATTCTGAGTCACAGATGCAGTTATCTTTGCATATTGAACATGGAGAGATTTCAGTTAAAATGCTACAATAATGTAATGATCAACCACAAAAATAAAATAGAATCACAGAATTCTAGAAGTGAAAGGACTTTAGATACCATAGACTCCACTCGCTAACTTTATAAAGTTAACAAAAACTAGAGAGGTAAAAATGACGTGGTCAAGAAAGTACTCCAAATAAACCATGAAATGTTTTAAAAAGCCATCCACTATATTTTCTTATGGTAGAGGTCCCCATTAGTTTTCTGATGAGGAACGACTTCTAGCAAGGTGAATAAAAAGATAGTACTCAAACAGCCATACTTAAGGTCCCAGAAAACTTTTCTCTTCTTGCTTAGTACCCTGTTTCTGATTATGAGGATAATACAAGAAAACAGAAAAATTCTTCGAAAAGCGAGAAGTGCTATATAGAATACCAAGAGGATATGGTAAACAATTTTTTAAGTGACAATCTTACGTATATGAATCTCTTTGCCTCCTTGATCTTTTTATCTGGTTCAAATTAAGAAACCCATTTCCATGAAATAGGTTGATAATTCTTGAAGCTTTTAGATGACCTGGCAAACTTGTATGGCAATAACCACAAACTAATAATAATCTAGTAACAGAATTAGGAGTAACTGCTTAATAGGGGTCAATTTCTATGTTTCAGGAAAATGTGGACAGCACTAATAAGAAGAAGAGGGGGAAGGTATACAATATTTAAGTTTCTATGGCATGTTTGGTTCTGCATTAGCTGCTTTGTATGTGTTATCTCATTTTTGAGATAGACAGTATCACCCTCATTTTACTGATGAAGACACTGAAACATTAAATACTTCTCTAAGGTCACAGAGGTAGCAAAGAGTACACAAAGGATTTAAACTCAGAGCCTACTGGTCTTCCAATATTACTACCTAGCTCCTTATCACAATTACATTATGTTCTAAAGACTTCAGGGCTCTTTTCTTTCTTTTTCAACCAGAGTAAGGAAATCTTGCCACAAAGTGCCAAGTACACTGGGCTATACGGAGCCTAAGCATATCAGGAGCCAGAGTAACCCTTTAGGGGAAGAGATGTTGAAATCAACTGGACACAAAGAATAAACGTTCCGGCACTAAACTTCCTAAATTAAACTGTACAACGAAAAACTGCATTCTTTGGCGTGAAATATGTCATCAAAACAATTATGACAGTTCTATAATATCTTTTCATTAAATCCTCCAAATTTATCACCAGAATTTAGCAGATTTGTAGGGTTAAAGTGAAATAAATTAGACAAGACCAAATCTTAACAAGATGAAAGAATGAAAATCATACTAAAAGAGAGACAAAGATCTAAATGTTGCCTAGGACAGCAGGCAACATTTGGGAACCATGGACCTTTTAAGAAGACAGTAAGAGCTAGGCAACCTCACCTCAGGATAAACATTTGCATACACCCAACATTTTCTGTAAAATTTCCAGATTCCCTGAACTTCAACCATTGACTCTAAGTTACAACTGTTTATCTGGGGACATTACAAAGGTTTCAGACATTTAAAGAATTAACTTTTCTTCTTTTGGGATTGTGAACTACGGGTTTATCACACAACTTAAGCTGTTTACTGCATCACAGATAGTTAAGAAATTTTTTCTAGATATACAATGTTTCTATCATGGTAAGAATCTGCATGTCCTGGTTTCAAATTCAATATATAAGCTATCCTAAAGGATTTCCTGAGAAAAAAACTGACTCCTTACATTTAGCGCAACAAGTACTACATCAACAAAATATGGTTCCCACCCTCAGTGAGCTGGCAATCGAGCTAGCAAGATATATCTGAAACATGTAGAAAGTTAAACTTTAAAACATTTAAATTTATTTCAACAAAAATTTAATTCAACAATAAAAGAAGAGTTTCACTTATTACAATACCTAACAGCTCAAGTGGAGATCTTCACAGAACATGAATTACTGATCTTCTTCCACGTACATTTGAGAAATTAACTGATTTATAAAACACAAACTCCAAATTTTGATTTCTCCCATTTCTTTCTATATACAGCATCTTATCAGAGTACTCAAGCTATCAACAAGTTGTAATTTATATTGGAAGTAATTTATATATAAGACCCTTTACTGTCCCAATTTTTCTAAGGTGAAATTATAAAACTAATCGTTTTAAATTCTCTATACTTTAAAGCATAATGTTGTTAAATATTTCTTAAATGCAGCATTTTATTTGGCTATTATTTTTAATAAGTTGTGTTTTTTCTTTGATTTCATTTCTTATTTAACCCTCACCTGAACCCTGATGGGATACAAAAAGGATAACACACTATCCTTCTCCAAAAAGGGTTATAACCCAAAATTCTAAAGGCCCTGTTTAACTCAGGGTGGCAGCAAAAATTTTTACGTCAAAAGGATTCAATAAAGCTTCCTTATACAAAAATGAGAAGAGTGAAAACGTTGCTCAAAAATTTCAACAGCTTCCAATATACCTTACCCAGGAAATACAAACTCTTCAATGAGTCTTCTATGCCTTGTCTTGAACCTACTCTCTGCTCCAAGCCAACTGCTCATTTCTCCTCAAACATATTCTACATTTTTAAACTTCTGCTTTATACTTTTTACTGTTCACTCTCCCCAAAATGCTCTTATTCCTTCACCTGCCTTTAAAAATTCCATTCATTCTTCAGGCTCATCTCAAAAGCTACCTTCGCCATAAAATCTTTATAGATCCTACATATTCCAATGATCCTCCTTGGCACTTTATTAATGTATATCCTATGGTAGAGTTTATTCTGCATTGTATTGTAGTTATTTGTGAATTTATTGTAATAATGATAACAGTAATACCAGCCACGAGAGTTGAGACTTAATGAAAGCTTACTATATGCTAGGAATTAAATGAATTATTTTTATTTATAGATGAGAACTGAGGCTTTGAGTGAATGAGTAATCTGCCCAGGGTCAAGCCATATCCAGGTATGACTGATTCCAGAGGCTGAGAGAGGTCTTAGCCACTGATTACAAAATCATTTCTTACAGGTTATATGTTTTCCTTACTTCTGAATTTCTGCAATGTGGAGAATAGTAGTTTTCAAATAACAGGAACTCAGTAAATAATTTAGTTCACTAAACTAGACTATAGTTAGAAAGACCAAGTGCTATTACAATTCATTCCAACAGGGTATCCAGATACTTCCATTCTAACAGAATATCAAACACTGCCCAAAGTTTATTATACTAACTTATACCACTAATCAGGATTTATGATTAAACATTTTTAATGTGAACATTAGGGGAAAGA